CATCACTGTAGGAGCCACCAATCACACCAGTGATGGCAGTGGGAGCATCACCATGGGTGGCGTAAGAGCCATCGGGGCAGATGTGGCGTGAGCCGTCGGCACCACGGCTAAGTGAGGCACGCACAAAGTCCAGTGCCTGCTCCAGGGCGTGTGTGTCCTTGGAGCAACTGTCGAGGATATGCGCACCCAGGCGCACGCCAGGCAGCAGGTGCGGGTCACGGTTGATGCGGTCCAGTGCAAAAAGCATGGCCTCCAGGCGCTGGATGCCACGGTGCTCATTGACAGGACCGCAGTCCTCTGCCGGGCCACCCTTCTGGTGCACTGGGAACAGCCCACCCAGCACCAAGTCTCCCTCCATGGTCAGCACCTTCTTGGCTGGGCCCTCAGCCACAGCGCCCCACAGAAGCAGCAGTGCCAGGAGCCCAAGCAGCGATCCCATGGCCCCAAAGGGGATGGATAGGTCCAGCAGACCTGGGTCTCCAGGGGATGAGATTAGAAGCAGCAAAGGCAAAGAGTGGAGGAAACGGACCAGGAAAGGACAGACAAGAAGAGAGATGAGAAGGGACCCAGCTCCTGCAGAGACAGAAAGATAGACAAACAGACCAGGAAAAGTGGAACCTGAGAGCAGCTGCCCCTTCTAACTCTGCCTCCCCCCAATTCCCTTTCCTAAGTACTCAGGAACCAGGGACAGGGTGGTGTCATTAACTAGGCTGAGAAGCTCCTAGGACTCTCCTGAGCTTGTCTCTCAGCCCTGGTCTCAGCTGGGCAAGAGATTGGCCCTAGTCCCCTACCAAAATCAGCAGCAAAGAGGGATGCAAAGAGTGAAGTCCCAGGCAGAGGACAGGAGACCCCAGCCAATGCTCACCCCTCTGTAAATCAAAGGGTGTCCAAGACCAGCACAAACTTCCCAGGACCACGAGGCCAATACCTTTGGAACAGTCTATGTCAGAGTTACAACTCAGAGGTCTCCATCCTGAGCCTTGGATTTCCAGACAGAAGGATCCATCAGGGAAGAATCTCTAAGGGACAGTCTCCAAACCGTGGGGAGACTGGAGCCTATGTGAACACCCAAGAGTCCTAGCCTTTGGCTCTTAAAAAGCCATCCCCACAGTGTCCTAACTGAGGAAGGGATAGAGACCCTAAGCCCTAGGAATGAGACAGCAAGGTAGAAAGGCTGGCCCCAGGGAGGGTACCCAAGTGGTCAAAGGTCCCAAGTCAACAGGGCAAGCAGATGTTCACATATGTGTGTGTCAGGGTTGGGGGATATAGTCTCCCCAGCGCTAAAGGTGTGAGTGTGGGACTCCCTAGCTCTATGTAGAATGCTGTTTGAGACTTTGTGCCTTTGTTTTCTCTTCACTCCAAACCCAGCAGAGAAAGTCACCATTTGCAATCTCCCCATCCTCAGCTTCAGAGACCTGCCCACCCTAGCCATGGCCCTCAGACATCCCCTCCCTGTCTCTTCCCCCCTGTAGCCTATCATTTGTACTCCAGTTGCCTTCCCAAACACACCGCACAAAGACTCTCACAATCACACAGGCTTGGAAAGGCTGGGAGAGGGTTATACCTCTTTCCTCAGAACAGGAAAGGAAACTGAGTTTGAAGATGGGCAGCAACTAATTCAAGGACCCCATGTGCTGGCCACAGAGGCTGAGGCTCCTCACTGCTCCCTCAGCTCCCCAGGGCAGGGGCACTGGGCTCCTCTGGGGATCAGGAAAGAAGCAGTTCACCCAGGCAAGCGAAGGAGAAGCAGGGAGGAAGATCAGCACAGATGGGGACTGGGACCCAGATGGGGGCTGAGGCCAAAACTGGTCAAGTCGCAAGCCTCCCACAGGGGCGGCCCACGGAAGCTCAGAGGCAGGAAGGGGACAGAAACCCGGAGTCAGGCAGACGGGGACCTGGGCCACAAAATCTGGGCAGGGAGAGAACAAACCTGAGAGGTGGAGACAAAGACGGAGGCACAGACAGAAAGAAGGACCAGAGGACGTTGGAGCAGGAGAAACGGGGAAGCGAGATTCGGAGCGTGCGTTTTCTGGGGAATAAAGGCGGGACGCCCGGGGCTGTCTTCCCGCTTCCCCCGGAGCTCCTAGGGAGCGCTGTCTGGACACCCCAGCATGGGCGCCCCACAACTCAAGGGCCCGGGGGGCCCTGGGACGTGAGGTCAGGGCCAAAAAGGTCGGCAGCGGTAGCAGCGGCACCACCGGCTCACCCTACCTGGTGCGCTCGGCTCTGGCGCGGAGAGAATCGGAGTGGAGCAGGCGGCGGGGGGGCACCAGGCTCTGGCTCCCGCTCGCTCGCTTGCTAGCTGGCTCTGCACTCTCCGCCCGCCCGCTAGCCCCGCCGCTTTCAATCGCGGCCCGCCCCGCCCCCGGCCCCGGCCCCGGCCCGCCCCCAGCCCCTCCTCCGTTCCTACCAACTCTGACTCCAGGTCTCCAGCTCCCAACCCGGCCTCCTCCAGCCTCTGGACCCTCCATGCTTCCGCTTTTCTTGGGACCTCCGGGCCTGGAGCTGTCCACCTCGTGGTGCTGAATCTCCGAGCTCTCTCCCTCTGTGCTGGAGCAGGTGCTTGGTGGCCCACTCCGCCCCATTATCAAACTACCACCTAGAGAGTACAGGTGGGGGAAGGGGAAATGCCACGGGGCACGGGGTGAGGAAGGTCACTGCGCCCCAACAGGTGCTACTGCAGAGTGGAGGAGGTGGCCCTAGCCACCTCTGGGGTACCTCTGGGGGATAGGTAAATGGGCACATGGGAAACAGGTGGTCTAGTCTCCCCACCCAATGACTTCAGTTGGGTCCACATCCCAGGCCTGAGGTGGGGTCATGTGTTCTCAGCCCCTTTTGAGAGCTGGAGCCTTAGCTGGAGCCTCATTAGGAGGAAAAGATTGGGGAAAGGGGAGGTCAAAGGAGAATGGGTCTCCCCTTCCTTCCTGCAGATGCCCTTTAAACCTGCCACCCTTTTACTCCCATGTAAAAAGGGTATTTAAGCAAGGAGATAGCAACCTGCAGGAGGGGCTGCAGAACCAAGTACTAGGGTCAACCCTGAGGGAGTGTTAGGGATGGCAGCGGGATTTGGAAGGGGAGGGGCCTGGGGAAAGACTTCTGGAACTGGCTGCTGTGTAGGAGGGAGTGAGAGCTGGAGCCCAAGCAGAGGGAGGACAGGTCTGAGAAGATGCTCTTGAATCTTCCCTCCCACAGCAGGATGGGGAAGGACACCCTTGGTTAGAGGGTAGTGGGTAAGCTGCAGTGCCACACTGTGCTGAAGGAATGGGAATTAAAGAGCCTGTGCTATCTGCCCTAACATGTACACACACTTAACAAGTGCCAAGGGGCATGGCATCCCTACACACATTCCCCTGACACTGCCCTTTCCTCCACAGGTGTCAGGGGAAGTAAGGCCAGCTCAGATACATGCTAATGAACATGCCAGGCCCAGACCCCTCAGGCACACACCCCCACATGTGCAAGTGGCAGTCCGTAGGGGGGCAGGGATGATCACCAAGGACAAGCCTTTTCCCTGGACACAGAAACCCGGTGCCCCACTGCTGTGGAAAGAATACAGCTTTGAAACAAAACAGGCACATCAAACCCAAATAAACACAAGCCCCATCACTAACAGGAGACAAAGTGGCAGCGGGAGACAGACATGCTGTCTTCCACCTCCAACTCTGCCACCAGCTGCTCTCGCCCTCTCTGGCTGCCTCAGAGCAACCACTTCCTGGGGTAGGTGAGCGATGGGCCAGGCCCCTGGAGAGGAGGGGCTGACAGCAGGAGGGCGCTGAGGTGAGGAGTCATACATTCCTCTCAGCCACACTCCTAGCCGGCTCAACACATCAGCCTCACAAAAGGCATGGGGCTGCATACACAGATATGGCTAGGTACAGCTCCAGCCCGAAAAGCCCTTGATGTGGCCTACAGCGAACAAGCTGTACAATCACAGCACCTGGACATAGTTACACATGGCTAGACAGCTACCACTCCCAGCTGTGCACACAGATGAGGACGTAACACCCAGCCGTACACACAGTTGTACATGTGGACATAGCCACATATATAGTACACATAAGCATGCAACCACACACAGCTATACTTGCAAACAGCCAAAATACAAATGGGCACACCCTTGCCCCTACGAACATGTGACCATGCCTACACATCATTGCACATGTGGACACAGCCACATATACACAGCTGCTCACATAGACATGCCACAAACAGCTGTAGACCAAGACATGGCCACACATGCATGGCCATAATCATGGATACACAGCTGCACAGAGCCATACCCTTTATATGCAGACATACAGCAAAACACATAGCTTTATACATGAACATCATGAACATCACCATACACACAGCTGTACAGGCACAGTCACACAGAGCTGTATATGGACAAAGCCCCCACAGAGATGCTGTTAGCCAGCCTCACATACTCCTATAATTCAACCATACACAGACACAAAGCACAGCCATCCACACAGACACAGCCATGCTCAACTACAATCACACCCTGATGCTCACCTGGGCAGTTTCACCCAAGCAGCCCCATCCATGGTTACAGAGCCAAATGCATGAGCGTGGGTGCACATGCATGCACACAGGTACACAGGCACTGGCAGGCACAGTGAGACAGCCTTGCCTGCTAGGGAGGTACCACGTGCAGGCACACTAGAGCCACAGACACAGAGGCATCCCTTGGAGGCAGACGAAGACAGGCTGTGAGCTCCCCACTCCTGAGTCCTGGAAGGTGCCCCGTGCTCAGCTCTCACACAAGCCAGGCTCTGCTTGCTCTCTGGCAGCTGCATGGAGGGGTAGTTGACCACTGGGGTCACAGAGCAGGACATGGAGGATTTCTAACACCCCTCCTCCCCCCACCCCAGGGTACCTGCCATGTTCCCACCATTCCTTGTACTGGGGAGCGGAGGCTCCTGCCCAATCCCAGCCTATCTGTACGGGAGCCCCCCACCCCACCAAGGCAGAACTAACAAACAAATACACAATCCAAATCCAGGTGAAACAAGTAAATCATTGGCTTTATTCTGGGTCCTGGAAGCTCCAATGAATCTGAAAAAAGACACAACAGGGGCGGCAGCCCTAGGGGCTGGTGCAGAAAACAGTCCCTAGCTTCTTTGGCCCTGGGAGCCAAAAGGGCAGTGAGGAGAAGGCTTAGCAAGAGGCCTGGTGCAGAGGAAATCAGGTCCCTCAGGAACCCCTCCTTCCCCAGGGGAAGAAGGAAAAGGGCTAGAGAGTCCCCTGGAGAGTCTCCTCAGTTCCTCAGCAATGGCACTGCAGGAGGGTGCAGGCCACAGGTTACTCCTTGCCCTTCTCAGGGGTACTGAGCTCCCAGGGCCACTTGGTAATCCCCAGAGGCTCAGTCTCAGGGTCCAGCTGTGGCTCCCCCAAACGCCCCTCACCCTCCAGGTCTAGCTCCTCAAAAGAAGAGCCGCTGGCACCTGACTCGGTGTAACTGTGTTCGCTGCGGGTGTCACTGTCATCCCAGCCACGGCTGCTTGCCCCCGGTGACAGTGTGGCAACTGAAGTCTCCCGGCTGCCAGGGCTCACCTCCAAGCTCACGGAACTCGTGTCACTCATCGTGTCAGCTCCTATGGCCAGGAAAAGGGAGCACAGGTTAGCCAGGACCACCCCACCCCCTCCTCCAGGGAGAGGCAACTCAGCACACACAGTGCATGCATGAATAATGCAGCCTCCTGGGCTCAGGGGGCTCGCTCCAGCTGCCCTCTGCCCTCTGCCCTGACTGGGGCTGCACAGACAGGTCAGAGGAAAAGAGCGGTAAGGAGGGAAGGAAGGAAGACAGGAGAATGCAGGCAGCTGTGCACTCCTCTCCCTACCCTGAATTAGCCTCAGCTCCCTGTACTTCCACAAAGCCTGCCCTCCCCCCACATTTATTAAGGGCCACTCAGCCCTGAGGTAAGGAGCTGAAGTAGAACAAAGAGACCCAAGTAGTGTCCCCTCTACCTCCCCCACTCCCATTTCAAGCTTGGAGAGAGATGTGTCCAGGGCCAGCTACAGAACATCGCCCACAGGGCATGAGGACTGGAGAATGCAGCAGGAGGCCCCTCTCCAGCCCTCCCCGACACAGAGCTCCCAGGAGCAGCATCCAGGGAGTCAGCAGGCCCCTGCCTCTGGCCCACACCCAAGTCCCCACTCGAGGAGAGAGCTGAAGTACCAGTAGGATGGAGAAGGCCTGAGAAACACTCAACCAGCTGCAAGGAGGAGGGTGCTGGGATGAAACGGGTTAAGGGATTTCTCCCCCTATGCCTGGGTCGACTCTGAGAAACCCTTACCCCCCCACCCTCAATGCCTGGGGCTTCCTGAGACACAAGATAGCAAAAGGGGACCATGAGAGCACTCTGCTGGTGGGTGGGGTGCCCCAAACCAGTGCTGAGCCAGGCTGGTGGCCCAAACCCCTTCTAACCTGCTCCTTCCACCCGCAATACATCCTCCAAGCAAGGAGCCCCTTCATCTGTCCTGTCCAGCAGCAACCCCTGGCTTCATTTCCCTGGATCAGAGGCACTGAAAGCAGGTGGGGGTGGCAAGGAGGAACACTGAGCTCAGGCCCACTGTGTGCAGGAATCCAGACTGGGAGAAAGAGGATCTGCTACATCTTCCTGTGTGAGAGGGAGAGGGGCAACTGTCAAACAGCACAGAAGGTGAGGGGTGGGCCAGCCTCCCCAGTTGCTGTCTCCATAGTGATAGAGCCAAGCTAGGCGCAGTTGGGGTCTGGTTGGCACTTGGACTCAGCCTGGGGCTTTCCTTGAGCCTCACCTGAGGCCTAGGTTGTGGGTGGTAGAATTAGGAGGTGGGGGAATTTGGAGTCTCTCCTTATCCCCACCAAGAGCTCAGCCCCCAGAATATGCCCTCTGGGCGCTACTGGCAGAGGCAAGGTCAGCCATGGAAGCCCAGGCTTCTAAGGCCCCAGGTCAGCCATGGAAGCCCAGCTCTTGCTAAGGCCCCAGGTATGGTTCCCAGAGCAGATGCCTGTGAGTGAGGTGGTCGGGGATTTGGGGTAGTTTCTTCTGACCAGGGGGCAGGATCCCAGGCCTTCACTGCTCTTTAAACGATGATCAGTGCACCAGGGGCTACAGGCCTGAAAAGAGCAAAGGAGAGAGACAGTTTCTCCCTGGCCCTACTAAACTGTATGTTCTGTCTGCTCACCTACCCAATGGCTCTCTTGGGACCCCACATAAGGAAACATGCCTGTTTCCCAGCATGCTACCTCCTACCACCCAGCTCCTAGGCTAGGAATATTCAAAGGAAGGAGCCTAGAGGTGCCTCTTTCAGGCCAATACAGCCTGCTGAGATGAAGATAGTGCCTGGGGACATATATACACTTCAAGCAAGGGAATCCAGCCAGAGGCCAGCACAGTGGCTCACACCTGCAATCCTAGCACTTTGGGAGACTGAGGCAGGTCTATCACTTGAGGTCAGGAGTTTGAGACCAGCCTGGCCAACATGCATAAACCCTGCCTCTACTACAAATTCAAAAAATAGTCAGACATGGTGGCGGTCGCCTATAATCCCAGCTACTCAGGAAGCTGAGGCAGGAGAACCACTTGAACCCAGGAGGCAGAAGTTGCAGTGAGTGAAGATTATGCCACTTCACTCCAGCCTGGGAGAAAAAGCAAAACGCCATTTAAAAAAAAAAAAAAGAAATCCAGCTGGGCATGGTGGCTCATGCCTGTAATCCCAACACTTTGGGAGGCTGAGGCAGGAGGATCATTTGAGCTAAGTTCAAGGCCAGCCTGGGCAATATGGCGAAACACCATCTCTACAAAAAATATAAAAATTAGCCAGGCGTGGTGGTGCACACCTGCTGTCCCAACTACTCAGGAGGCTGAGGTGGGAGGACAGCTTAAGCTCAGGAGGCAAAGGTTGCAGTAAGCTGAGATCTCACCACTGCACCACTCCAGCCTGGGCAATAGAGTCAGACCTTGCCTCAGAATTAAAAAAAAAAAAAAAAGAGTGCAAAGCAGGGAAGTGGCATCCCTATAGCCCCACCAAGATCTACACAGGATGAGGCTCCAGAGTCTCATGCCTGCATCCCTAGGGAGAAGACACCAGGTAAGGCAGGGCCCTACCTAAATCCCCATGGCTGCTGGGGCAGGGAACGTGAAGCCACCCCTTTCACCCCAATCCCTCCCTCCCACTCTGTGGAGGAGCCCACAGCCAGTGCAAAACAATCAAATATTCATCGCCTCTCTGGAGCTAAATAATACATCAATGTAATAACAGGCACAAGGCAGCTAATCACCCCTTTTTACCTCCCAGCCCAAGCTGAGGCCACAGCAGGGAGGCAGGCAGGCACAGGCCAAGCCTTGGGCAGTGAGACACCCTCCATGCATCCACCACCAACTGCTGTGTCAATGGCATGCACCTGGCGGGCAAACACCCAGAGTCCTCCTGGGGTGTCAGGACAGGCCCTGTAAGAGGTGGGCAGACCCCGTGGCCTCAACACCAGGGAGTGGGTGGGCGGGCTGGAGGGGAGGAAAATAGGCTGAGGAACTGGGGAATGTGGGAACTGCAGCTGCAGCCAGCTGTAGTGGGTGCCAAGCAGTCCTTCAATGTCCCTGGCAGGCAGTGTTTGGGAGGGAAGGAAGCTGGGTGGGTGGGTCAAGGAGGGGGAGACAGGCAGCAGAGGGAGGTCACAGGAAAGTGAAGACGCTCTGTCTTCCTGCCCTGGAGGCTGCCTCGGCCTGCTGACCTTGTGCCACGTCCTGTGCCCACAGTGGGGGCACTGAAGAGTGTCTGCCGGGCACTACCAGGCAGAAGGGAGCTGTACCCCATGGAGGTAATTAAGTGGCAGATGAAGTTAACTGTGTTGGACACAGGCCCCTAGGGAGTAGAGACTGCTCCTAGTACCCTCCCGCCCAGCCCCAGCTGACACATGTCTCCCTAGGGTGACCTTGACTGTTGAAGACTGGATGGGCAGAGCGTCTGCTAAAGGAGGAGGAGAAGGGGGACAGTTCCTCTCCCCACAGCCCTGTACCACTCCTAGAAGTCATGGACTCCACATGGTTGGCCAAAGTTATAAGGCCCCCTGGGACCATCTGGAATGTAACCAGCAGACGTCCTTGTGCCTGGGACCACCCAGGGTCACAGAGATCATTGCAGAGAGTTGAGCAACCTGGACCTGGAGCCTTGAGGCTGCCAGTAGGAGTGTAGGCTGGCCCTGGAGGAAGGCACAGGGGACTGATCTCCTGGCTCCCCTCTGCATGCTCCCTGGTTGCTCGCTGGCAGGGAGAAAGCAGCTGGCTCTGGGCGGGGCCCATACTGAGGAATAAGAGAACACTTTGCTCCCCTCCTTACCTTCCAGATCCAGTGCCAATCTTACTTCCTGCTGAGCCCCACCCAAGGGACTCCTTTCCTGAGCAGCCTCAGCCCCCTCCCATGAGCACTGAGCTATCTGTCATCTTTGTTTCCAAGGGTACTCCTGCTACATCTGGAAGGAATCTGGGCAGGGTCTTTGTATCTCTGTTGCTAGGAGGTAATGTGTGTGAATCCACATCTATGTAGATCCACATGTCTGGGAACAGGAAACTCCACATGGGTCCTCAGGTAGGTGGGTCTGCTTCCTCCCTCTGCCAAGCATAGACTGACACCCACAGTGCCAACCCAGAGAGGAAGGAGCCTCCTCAACCAAGCCCCTGGAATCCAGAAGTGAGGAGCTCCAGGAGAGCCCCACCCTCATATCCCACCTTCTGTACCTGTGCCATCCACCTGGGCATCAACGGCCTCTGCAAGCCCCCGCCATTTCCGCTCTGTCTCCTTCACCTCAGGCACATAGAAATCTCCCTGCCGTGCCAGTGGGCACATGAAATGGATCTGGTCTTGCTGGTAGATCTCCAGCCGAGGATGGGCACACAGCTTCCGCTCCTAGTTAGAGAGTGGCAAAAGGCAGAATGAGCCCCACAGGGCCCCTGACTCACTTGTCTTTGGGTGGCCCCCGGAACTGGCTATTACCTATTCTGTCCCAGGGGCTGGCTCTGCCTCTCAATCTCTTCCAAGTTCCAAAGCCCTGCTGAGGGAGGCATACATAGAGCACCCTAACAGCAGGGCCCCAGACTCCAGAGTGCAATAATAGTCTTAAGACCCAGGATGACACCCTAGGGCAGGTGGCAAAAGAACCTAGGAGCCTGGCACTGCTCTCTTATGTGTACATCTGAGACCAAAAGGCTGTTCCAGAAGGCACTGGTCTCACAAAGCCATGAAGCTTAGCACCCCTGGACCACCCCCAGGATAGGGACCCCATGTGCCCAAGCTAAGGTCTTCTCACCTGCCAGACTTTCCATCCCAGGAATCCCTGGCCCTGACCTTTGGTCTACCCTGGACAATGGTGACTGACCCACAGGTATCAGAAGGCCAGTTCCCCCAATCCTTAGGCCTCCATCCCCTGCTCTTGCAGACATGCCACTACAGATCCTGGACAGGGGTCAAGGCCAGCTAAACCCCACTTCCACTCCCATTCATTCCCCTGCTAGTCTATGTCAACCTCTGAGACTATCAGGTATGGTTCCCATACCTCCTCACATATGGGCCCAGGGTTTTTGCTGATGGGGAGGAGGGAGACCCTGGACTGAAAGGGCAGGCAGGACAAGTAGATCTAGCACAGGACATTATCCAACGGGCTGATGTACCACCTTTTGGGCCCCAAGTTTCAACAGGCATTTCACCTCCCTCTGCCTAGAAATAGAATCCAATGCTTCCCATCCCCCAATGTATATGGAGGGGCACAGACATGCCTGAGGCAGGCAGGGACAGCCAGAACAGGGGTCAAGTGCCTCTCGCTCAGAGCCTGCCCCCGCCTTTCCTGCAATGGAGCACAAATACCCACTAAGATGACTGCAAGGCCCCTGCCCTGTCACTGCTTACCCACCAACCTTCACAACACGGCTATTTATAGCACCTGCCCTGCTCTCACCAAAGCTCTGAAATGAACCTTCCACTTAGCAGTAATGAGAGACTTATTGCCTCGAAGGGAGAAACCACTCCAGGACTCCACTTGTCCACCTGCCTGGTCAACCCTAGGATTGAGGAACCTCCTTCAACTAAAGCAAACAAGCAAAGAAGGGTTAAAAACAAGCCTACAGATGATAAAGGGAAAACGGGAGTGAGCCTGAACGGTCTATCTAACTAGGACCCTCAGCAGCCAGCTGGAGAGAGGATGCATCTAGGAGGCCATTCAGGAGGTGGTTGGCCTGGCCCAGGTCTAGTTGCGGCCTGCCTCTGACTCCATGAGTGATCTAGGCAAAGCCTTTCATCCCAAGTCTCCATGTGCTCAACAGCAAGTAGAACACTCCAGCCCTCATGATTCCAAGGTCAGTGAAGGAAAGTCATTATTTTTTAATTGCTGGAGTCAAATCTTCTTTGCCAACCTGGGTGCCCTCTGGGCTTTCTCTATCTCAAGAGTCCATGCCCCCAACACCTCCCATTTCTAAACACACAGATGGCTGTCTTTGCTTCCCTAACCACCGACATACCCACTCCAGCCCTGGTCTCCAGGAGGAGGTTAAACAAGATCACAGTGTCAGGAATCAGATGCTGTCAGGATCTGGGGCCCCTCCAATGCCAGCACTTAGAGGTAGGCATCTGCCAAACCTGAGCCCCACTCAGCAAACTGGGCCAGGTCACTGAGGCCAAGGGCAAGGAAGCCCCTGAGGAAGGTCCAGGTCCTTCCCCAGTAGCTAGATGGAAGAAAAGGATTCCTGAAACTAGTCAGGGCATGGCCTTCATCAACATCCTCACACTCTGGGAAAAGGGTCCAAAGTGTAGCAGCTGAGTAGCCATCACAAGAGCAGCAGACATTTGGCTTTTGAGGAAGATCCCAGAGGCCAGAGCCTGTGTCCACCCAGAGATTCCAGGGACAATGGGGACGCTAACCCAACCCCTCTCAACACTCAGGCTATCTCCCTAGCTTATCTTCTGGAGGAACTTGGCAGTAACAAGATGATAAGAGGGAGTACTGCTCTTTCCACCCTCTCCTCTAGGCTGGGCAGCACCAGGCTGCCACCCTGTACCACCTGCTCTGCCAGCCCCCTCGTTGGCAGGCAGGAGGCAGCTCTGCGGCTGCTCTGTGCATCTGCCTCCTCCAGAGAGCCCGGCTCTGAAGTTGCCTGGCTGTGGACAGCTCCGTTGCCATGGAAACTGCATCCTCCATCCTTGCCATCGCCTTCATCTCAAAGCCATCGGGGAGAACAGAGGAGCAAGGGAGACAGAGGATGAAGAGAAAACTGTGGCCCTGCCACACAGCCCTTCCTTCTCTGTGCAGCTCTCTTTCCTCACAGCATCCCACACAAGGAGCACCAGCTTCCAGAGCCTGTTTCCAGACCCCTGGAGGCAAAACTAGCCTGGTCCTACCCACCGTTACCTGGGGGCCCTGGTCCTCCATACTAGAGGGAGGCATGGAGCTAATTAAAATGCCATGACTGTTCAGCCCCAAATCATTGTAACACATGCACCAGGTCCTACCAAAATTCAGACTTGGGCAGAGAAGGGGCAGGAAGAAGGCAAAGGAGCAAACTTCCAAGCCAGGCCCACAGGCAGAGAAGGGGATTGCAGTTACCCCTTGGCCCTTCCTGGGAAACTGCTCTACCTTCCATGCTCTGTCCACTGAGAAAGAATGAGTCTAGTGAAGGCTAGGGATGGACGGTGAGGGGCAGGACAAGCTATATGCTCTGTCCCTCAGTGATCAGGCAGAGGACAAACCCTTTCCCTCCCAACCAGGTGCAGCCTCAGAGGGAAGAGAAGGTGACCATGGGCTGGCTCTAAGGTCCTTGCTGCACGGTAGGAGCCATGGCCCAGGCAATATGTCAATGAGCCAGTAAATATTGGAAAATGATTGGAGGAAGGTGAGGCCAGCTGCCTCTCCCTCAGCTAGCCCCAGGGAGCCCTTGGAGAGCAGACTGCGAGTGGCCAAGGACACCAGCTCAAGGTCACACTGGGCTGGTCTCACTGGTGAAGAGTCTGGGTGGGCCTGGAGTCCTCCTAGCCCTGGCACACCCACTTTCACAGCCCGGACAGCCAGAAGTGTGTGGAAGCACTGCCAGGACATGATGAGAACATGCTCTGCCACTGACACCACTGGCCATCTGACAAACGCACAGCCCAGAGCAGCTCACTCCCACACAAAGAACCAAGGAGACTATAAAGCCTCTTTCCAAGGTGAGAGAGTTGCAGATGTTCACATTCCTCTCCACCTAACAGGCAAAAGTCAGTGAATCACGCCAAGGTGCCACCAGGGACTGCTAGAAACTGGATTCGGAGTTCCAGTCCCTCAGACACACCTCCAGGCCTTCCGTCCCACCTGGGCCTTCCACATGCAGAAAGAAGATGGGGACTTCGGACACGACCCATGATGCAGGAACTTCTAGGAGACCCCAGTCACCAGCACTTCCCTACCACCACCCCACCCTGACTAGCACCTGCTCACCCACTCAGAAGTGCTGGCAAAAAAAGGGAAGCTCGCCCACTCACACAGGCAGCCGCAGTGCCTCAGCTACCTTGGGGACACACCACACACTCCCACCTCACCCAGTCTAAGTTCATCTCCTGGGCAAGGTGCAGGCATTTAGCCCACTCAGCTCAGGGCTCCCACAACAAAAGCAAGACTGATACACCAGGCCAAGGTTTCCCCGCGGGACCCACAGTGCCTCCCCAGCAGGTCTTTCTGAATTAGGGGAGAGAAAGAAAAGAGGTAAGAGAGAGGATCTGCACTATCCTCATTTAGTGCTTTGCACTCAAGACTTCACCCTGCCTGTGCCCTGGCTTCAGCCAGGGGTGAGGCGCACACAGAAGACAGAAGAGGTCAGGCTCAGGACGGAAGCTGACAATGGGTTCCACTCCCAGGCTACCCAGAGGCCGGAGGTTTGCTTAGAGCTAGGTGGTAGCAAACGCCAAAAAGGAGGAGGCAATGTGTGGGCCAAGGACTGGGTCACATCTCCTACATGATTTCTAGGCCCAGAAAGGGATGAGGTCTGGCTGAGGGGCCCTGGGCCTTGCCTTACTATTCACCCTGAGCTACGTAGTCCTATCCAGCCTTCTGTGCCAGGCTGGACACCCAGGCAGCTGCACAGCTAGCAAGCAGCTGTTGCATCCCACCCAAGGTGGTGGTGTCTCCTTGCTGGGTGAAGTGATGTGTGCTCATTTTTAATTATAGACACTGAAACGCACCCGCCTGCACACAGTAGTCCCTGCAAGTGGGGGCTCAGACCCTGGAGGCCTCTCAGGCAGCTGGTTTTCATGGCACGTGCGTGCTTGGGGGAGGCATAGCAGGAGGCTATAGCTATAAGGTAGCATGTTATTATTCTGCCCAGAAGCTTTCCTCTCACCCACACCAGGCTGCCCAAAAGCCTCCAGCCCAAAAGCTAAACCTGTCTGTTGGTGCTCTGGTGGCCTTGCCACAACAGCAGGGAGAGCCTGCAGAAGGGCTGGGGAGCACCTTTCCCTCTCTCTATTCTCCTCTCACAGCAGGAGAGCCCAAAGCTCTGAAAATGGCAGGGTAAGGAGACAGGGAGTAAGATAGGACTGCAGGGAGAGGAGAGAGGAAGCAGGAAGTGGCAGAGAGCACCCAGGCAAGAACCTAGAGCACTGGCTTGGCTAGACAAACGGGTGGCTTCCCTCTTGCCCAAGTATGAAATAAAGGATCTCCAGCCATACCACCCTGAATGCACCTGATCGTATCTGATCTCAGAAGCTAAGCAGGGTTGGGTCTAGTTAGTACTTGGATGGGAGACTACCTGGGAGTACTGGGTGCTGTACGCTTTTGGCCTATCACTCTCTCCGTCTTTCCCTCTTTGGCTAACCACGGTGGCTCATGCCTACAATCCCAGCACTTTGGGAGGCTAAGGCAGGTGGATTACTTGAGTTCAGGAGTTTGA